AAAAAATCATTACCTTTGTTCGAAATGAAAAAATGACTAGATAGAAAATGTTCTGGACAGGTTTTTATTCCATAACTATTTTGCATGAAAGCAACTGTTTAAGAGTTTAAATGTCCAGTAATTTTTTGTTAGGAGAAATGGTGTAATTTCCAGCTTGAGCTCCAGTCCTTCCCATGGCCAGCTGTGCCTCCTCTTCCCACCCAGCACAGGGATACAGTCCCATCACCTGCATGCTGCAGGGAAGTATTTAACCCACCTGTCTGCCTATTTTCACACTGCCATTGCAGGAATACATACCCCAGCTCCAGTCAGGACCATTATCTTTTTGCACTCCTGTAGAAGTTTCACAGCATCATCAATGGTATTAATATCTTTCCTTTTTTTCCTTTTTGGTGGCTCTGAAAGGATGTTTATCACAATTTGCCACAGAGTCATATCATCCAGTTCAGGTGGGGGGATCGTTTCTGGCAGCAGGTCCTTCAGAATCGTCCGTGGGTCTGTACCCAACATGAGGTGCTGCTGAACAAAAGTGTAGGGACCTAAAAAATTAAAAAAGATAAAATTTAAAACTGATTCAAGTAACTCAGAAGATTATGGTCATTGTTACATTTATTAATGCTTGCTACTACAGTTTTATGAATCCAATTTAATGCTCCATTCATCTAAATTCCTGTATATTTTGGTCTAAATTCTGAAGTGATAGGGCAGCTAAGAGTTTTATTTATTTACCATTATTTTGTGTTAATCCATGAAGGATTTCATAGAAAGTCAGTCAAGGTAGAAATCCCATTTCAGAGCAAACTTAATGGCTTTTAGAGGTGCACTTATGTAGCAATAGGGTTTTCACACTGCGTCTCCATTTTATGACTTCATCTGTATTTTCCCAACATTTGGTATTTACAGGAATAAGTTGAAGAGATGACAAACATAGATATAACCTTCTAGTGGTACCATAAACCATCACTTTCATAGACAAATAGGACCCAGCAATCCATGGAATTTGTTTTTCTTTTGATCATCTAACAGTAATTATTTCAGACATGACCTCCTAACACCATCAAATCAGTCCTTCCAGAAACACTCAAGATTAGGGCTGTAGAAGGAAAATAGGTACATCTTAAAAGCCTAAACTGACAGGACTCAAATAGCCATCACTAAGGCAAGTTACATATAAAGAAAACAAATGTTATACAATGTTTACCCAAAAGGTACCAACAGTGATCCCGTAAGGAGGGATCAGCAAAGGCAACACATGGGCAGGTTTTAAGTGGAATATTGTATTCTCACAAAGTGTTTCCTTGCAGCTATTCTTGTCAATACTGGCAGAACCAATGCTGTGGGTATTATCACACCTCTAAGTTCCAACCCCACTGCCCCCTGGAAACCACTGTTCCTCACAGATCTGGCCCCTGTGCAAGGCAGGAACTTTGTACAGAGTTCCCAGTGGCCACACTTCTCTATTGCTAATGTGCAAAATATATGCAGGCTAATCATTCCCAAACTGATGTCACAGTCAATCTGCAGGGCTCACTCTCCTAAAATCACACAGGAATCCTCTTCTTCTTCCTTAAAGAATACTAAATAAATAGGGTAGGAGTATGCCATAAATCAATTTAGTGAGTCTGTGGACGCTTTTAATAGGGATCATGGTGGGATTTCTACTCAAGGTAAAAAAACAAGGCACTGACAATTTTAATCAAAATACAGCACGTTTCAACAGGTTCATTTTTAAACTCCTTAAATAGCATACAGATACAGTAAACAACACTAAGCTGCTCAGAAGCGCTAATTGCCAATTTTTTTTGCAACAGATAAAACTGTTTGCATTCTGGGGAGAATTAAGTAACTGTTCAGAGGCAGAGAGCATCTAAGAACATCACACAGGCATCTACCTATACGTGGTCTTGGGGTCCAGTCACTAGAACTTGCGTGTGAGGCTCTGTCGTCTTCGTCGCTGTCGCAGGAGTGAAAGCCGTTGGCTATGATTTCATCGCTGAGGAGGAAGTTATCTGCAAGACAGCACAGCCAGGAGGGTTACACCCCACGCAAAGGGCACAGGTATGTCACTAAATACAGCACAGAAATTCGAATTGGATGCCCTTAAATGTGGTTGCAATGAGCACTGTCACTGCTCGGGCACAGAAAATGCTTTTCAAGCCATCAGCAGGATTTGCCGTCTTAACGCTGGGCTAAGGTGGGCTGGGTGCTGACCTTGGTGAAACTTCATTCTGTAAAGTGTTTGGCATTATGGATATTGCATCTTAGAAAAAATCCAAATGTTTCAAAAGTATAATTAAAAATCCTTTTCTCTTACAATTCTCACTGCATTCAGGTCATTGAAAAACTGGGTATAGACTGATCTTTGACTAGGTTTTAAGAGCATTTTAACAGCATTTTGAAAGAAACCCACAAATACACATTTGATGCAATCAAGTTACATAATTTTGTGAGGGTGTTACCTTGCAGCTGAGCTGCAGGTGACCACATATCCACTTTATTTCAGTTATGATACAAAATGTGCTCCCTTGGACCACCTTCATTAATTTTATCTTATCCATTTGCCCCTGCAGCTGGGTTTGGCTAAGAGTGCCAGAGTCAGCTCAGCTCAGCCTACGGCCTTAAGCCAGAGTAACTCAATCTAACTCCATCCTGGATCTCCATGGAGTCCAAAGGAGAACGAGACACTTGTCTCGCAGCATGTGCTACTGAGCTCACATTGGAGAAGAAATCTGAATTCTAACCTGAGCAGCTTACTAGAATTTAGATTACTAAACCTTTTTATTATTTCCTTTATTAGAAATAGCCACAGCACCTGTAGCTTAGTTTTTTGAAAATCTAAGATATGAACAAAGAACAACAAATTTCAGTCATGCTCTTCCAAGCAAAGCATCACTATAACAGTTTTCAGTCTCTATCTGAAGAACACCCTACACTAGCTGTTACTCCATGTGATTCTTAAATAAAGAACACCACAAAACACCAACATCTTTTTATTCAGAGGTCATGTTGTCCTTTCCTTCTTGGCATAAATACTTTATTCTGATTAGAACAGAAAGAGGTCGAGGACATAAATTTGCTATGTGTTCTTGCTGTCTTATTCTTCTGAGGCCACAGGTGCTCTTGGACATTACTGTATTATTAATCTACATAATTTACAGCATTTCACTTCCACCTCCTTATGCATGATGTCGGTGAACACATTAAGCATTATGGAAAAGGAAAAAGTGGATTAGTACACATCAATAACTGTGAGGTGCAAGTTTAACTAAAATGACCTTTACGGTTTCTGTATAAAGAATCAAAGCTACATTGTGAAAGACTTGTCACATACAGGCCACAGTATCTGGGATTTAAGAAACAGTGACAGATACAAGCAGGCTAACATAAGTTTAACTTGTAACAATCCCTGTGTATTAATTTGATTCCTCAAAGGGCTAGAGGGAATAATGCTTGCCAGAACTAAGCCGGCCACAGCAGAGCACGCCTGAGAATCAGAGGGACCTGAGCAAAAAGGCTTCACATAAGGCACGGGTAAGAGATCATCAGCTTCGGTCTGCGCTGTTCCAATGGAGTTTTTAAATACTGAAGCTGTTCCTCATTTATCCTATAGGTCCATTCCTCTTGCAAAGGAAGAAGTTTTTCTGTAGAGTTTTACTATCGAGTTAAAGGAAAAATATCTTTAACTGCATTCCAGGATAAAATGTAAAGACTTTACTGGCAGAATGCAGTGTCTGATACCTTTTAATAAGTCTTTCCAAAGCACTGTTAAAAAAAAAAAAAGCCAAGATGAACATCAACAACAAAACCCAATCTGTTTGCAATGTGAGGTGCTTTCACACTGATGCTCCCCACCAGTACGCTTAAAAACGTTATCTGAAAGAAAACTTTTTAGAAAGATTATAGTTTAGTTTCGTGTCACAGTCACTGAAATCTTAACCAAGAGTGTCACTCAAAATTATTTAAAGAACCGGTCAAGACTGCTGCTCCTGTGCTTTCTGTGCGAGTTTCCAAGGAACAGAAATAGAATTATTATCACGGCAGAGATTACGAAAAGGAAGCCGGGCTTATGGTTTTTCGGTTTTAATGATTCGTTGCCAGCGACACAGCAAAACAAATGTTTTCAGGGATGAGAGTGGAGCCGCTCTGCCTCTGCGGAGCCCGGCACGGGGAGCAGCAGGCGCTGACAGCGACAGATCGGAGCTGACAGGGATGAAGGGGTAGGGAAGCGACGGATGCAGCAGCTCGCCGGGCTCGGGCGATGATGACCCCAACGCCGTGCGACACCCAGGCGGGTGCCGGGCGGGGGAAGGGACCCGCGGAGGAGGGAGAGGAGGAGGGAGGGGTCGGTCCTCACCGGGATGCGGGGCCGGCGCCGCGGCCGCCCCGTTCGAACACTGCGCCCGCCCGCAGCCCGGGGCCGCCTCCGCCGCGTCTTCGCCGGGCGCCGCCTCCGCGCCCTCCCCCCGTTCCCGCCGCGGAGGCGGCTCCGCTCGGGGCAGGCCCCGCGGGCAGGCCCCGCTGTCCGCGCCGCTCGGCGCCGCCGCCGCCCCGCCGCCGTCCTCCTGCTCCGCCCGGCCGCCATCGGCCGCCGCGGCCGCCGCCTCGCCCGGCGGCTCGGCCGGCACGGCGGCGGGCGCGAGCGGTAGCTCGGCGGCGCGGTCGGGGCGCGGCGCGGTCGGGGCGGTGCCCGACCCGCGGCGGTGCCGCTTGGCCGCGGGCTCGGCGCTGTCGCTGCCGGCGGGGCCGGCGGGGCCGGGGCCGCGCGGGCGGAGCGGCGCAGCGTCCCCGTCCGCCATCTTGGCGCCGCCGCAGCCGCCGCCCCCTTCGCGCCTGGCCCCCCCTCTCGCCCCCCCGCCCGCCGCGGGCAGCGCCGCGGCACGTGACCGCGGCACGTGACCGCGGCAAACAACACACCGGGGCACGTGACCGCGCGCGCTGCCGGCGTCACGTGGCGCTCGCGCTGCCTGCGGCTCCCCCCCCTTCCCCACAGGCGCTCCTGTCACCGCGGCCCTGAGGGGCCGCCCAAGGACGGCTCGGCGCGGGGCCGCTCCGGCTGCCCTCTGCCGTTCCCTGCTTCCCTCTGCCGTCCCTTGCTGTTCCCTGCCTGTCCCTGCCTCCCCCTACCTACCCCTGCCTCTCCCTGCCGTCGCCTGCCTCCCCCTGCCCTGCCTTCCCCTGCTTCTCCCTGCCGTCCGTGCCGTGTGCCTGCCCGGGGACGGTGTGCGCCGGCACCTCGGGCTCACGGTCGGCATGCTCGAAGGTACTGCCCCTTGTCTTCTGGGATAACACAACACCTTAGCCCCTTGTCCTCTGGGATAACACCTTAGCCCCTTGTCCTCTGGGATAGCACCTTAGCCCCTTGTCCTCTGGGATAGCACCTTAGCCCCTTGTCCTCTGGGATAGCACCTTAGCCCCTTGTCCTCTGGGATAACACCTTAGCCCCTGTCCTCTGGGATAACACCTTAGCCCCCTGTCTTCTGGGATTTTGTACCGCGGTGCTCCCGAGCTGCAGGAGCCTTCTGTGGGGTCAGCCTGTCTGAACAACGGCTCCTGGACTTGCTCTAATAGCAGCCCCAAGTTCATTCGTTCCCACGTGCCCTGGAGGGGTGCTGGTCTCTGTGGTGCCCGCTGGTTTTCTAGCGATCTCTTTCGTTCTGTGATTTGCAGGGGCGGTCCTTGGTGCCGTACCGTGATGCCGAAGCGGGGCCGTCCCCGCGTGGCAAACACGGAGGTACCGCGCCTGGGCTTTCCGTGCTGTAGCGCTGCTTTCTGCCCCTGGGTCTGGGCTAAAGGCAACTCGGCTACAAATTTAAGTTTTTTTAATGTTGCTGCTCAACATCACAAGCTGTTTGCAGAAGAGTTTTAGTGAATTTAGTACAATGGAATCCCTAGGTTTAGTGACAAGACCCAGATTACACAGGTAGAATTTCCTCCTTTCAGGCCTTGATAGCTGACAGCTTTTAAAAGATTTGGCTTGAGATTGTTCTCACATGGGTTTTGGCTTTGAAAGGGATTATTTTATAGATAACTGACTTTATGCGTGGTCTATGTATTTGTAGGGGAGGGAATTATTTTTTTTTGTGTGGTTCTTTCAGGTATTAACAACCCTGAAAAATACGTACCTGCCATTTTCCACACTGTCTCAAAACCAGCTGCTGAGAAACCAGATGTGAATCAGATAGTTTTTATTATTCTGTTCAAATTTATATGCAAGCATTCTTCTTCCTTACTGAAGCTGAGGCAAGAATCAGATTTCTTAAGAAGCACATGCAAGGTGGTTTTGTCAGCATATAAAGGAGAGGTGGGGCTTTAATGTTCTTGTTTTGGTGGTTATTTATGTGAAGACTGCGTTCTAAGGAAGAAAATCTGTAAGTGATGTAGATATAGCATCTGAAGGTATTGGTGAGGGAGTGACTTGAGGATCCTAAACCTGCCTCTGATATTGCAGACATTTATCACAGTAATAATGGTGTTGCAGTAGTTACCCTTAGTTTGGGAAGTCTGTTTGGCAGTGCTTGGGTCCTCTTTTATTTCTGCTTCTCTGAGCTTGTGTGGGGACAGGGATGGAGCATGAAATGCAAAACTCAAATGAGTTATGTTGTGCCTTGAACTTGTAAATGTGCACTCTGCCCTGAGGAAGCAAAAGCACTGAAGTCAGTTGAGAAGAAGTGGTCCTGGGAGATCTGGTGTATTTAGAGGAATAAATTCAAATAGATTTCCAGATCTTGCTGCTTTGTTTAAAGGGCCATTTTTGACTTTTACAAGGTGTTGGTAAACGTCCTGTTATACTGAACCAGAATTTAGTTTCGCACTTGGCTCTAAACGAGCAAAACTGTTGGTCTGTGCTAGGACTGAATAGGTGTGGTTTGTTGGTGGTTGGGTACAGAGAACAAATACAAGATTTCCTCACTTCCAGAACTGTTTGTACCTCCTGAGCAACACTAACCACAGCGTGTGCAGGCAATAATATGTGCCATGTCCTGTGCTGTGATTCCATTTCAAATAAACTTTATGTCCTGGGGCTAATCTTTGGGGTTTTTTCCTGTGTATTACGTACAGGTTCTCTTGTTCTCCTTTTTGATGGTGCTGTGGGAGTTGCCCCAGTGAAGTCAGGAGGAGCAGTAGAAGGCTGAGTTGATATTCGGTGTCAGTGTTTTGTGTCCTCTGTACACAAACCTTCAGGCCCTTTGTGCCCCAAGGCCTGGGGGTGCCCAGGGGGCAGGGGCACAGCTGTGGGCACTGCTGCAGTTTGGATCAAAGCCCTTTTTTGTTGGGCCTCAGCAGGTGAGTACAGATGGGACCAGGGCTTCAGCGAGCACATTCCCCGGGAATGAGCAACTTCCAAGTCTTGGGGATTTGTCACTGGAATCCAGCTCTTGGGCCTGCAGCTCCACAAAAATAGCCCCTGAAAGCTGGACTGGAAAAGGGTTAAAGAGCCTTCCCTTTCACCTTTGGCAAATATGCAAGGAATACTTGGAAAAGAAAGGGATGTCAGGAATGCTGTTGGGAGGAGGGACAGCTGTTTGTTTTTTGTCCTCCCCAAAGTACATTCTATTTAAATATTTACATATTCTCTTGCTGAAAGGCTTTAATTTATTTTCTATACTTTTCTGATTTATTATTAAGTTATGAATTTAATTTAATGGGTGAAGACAGATTTGTAACTGCTAATTCTTCCACTTCAAGTTGAAAAAGCATTTCTGTCATTTTTTCACTCAGAGAAATATAATGGTAGAATTTTCTAACAGATTTAAATGGTTTCATCGAGGCTTGTGCTTTGTCTTTTAATATTATTGCTTGTTTTCATGTACTTTATATAGTTTGTAATCTCAGTAAGCTATCTGAACATCCAGTAAAACTAGAAAACTTGAGACAATACTACCTTGAAGAGAAAGCAGTGGAAGACTAATAATAAATGTCATTGCGGAACAGTAATAATGTAGATAATAAAGTAAAGCACGTGTAAATGGAAAAATTATATATTTGTTATTCATAAACAGCTCTGAATGGCCACTGGGTCCTTCATTGATTCACACATACCTGTCCCAGCCTTGGTCACACCCTGGGGATCTGTTCTGCGCAGACTGCCCTGCAAAGTCACTGCATCTAGAATTGTGTACCTACTGAAGGCATCTGTTTTAAGTATTAGTTTAAACAATCAGCAATATTTAATGACATGAAGCATCTTGGATTACAAAGCCCCTGCAGGGATGGGAAAAGTATAAACAGAGTTCCTGAGACTCCGGAGGAAACGCTTCAGCACGTGGTTGGTATTACACCTGGGAAGTAATCTTCTGAAATAACAGATCATGGAAGACACCAGTTGTGTCTGTAGTCTTTGCTGGGCTGAGGCCTTGGTCACTAATCATGGTTCAAAATTAAAGGTGTTTCACTTCAGTGTAAAATGAGTTTTACAAGGAACATGTTTGCACGCAGTACAGACCTTCAATACACAATTTGAAAGTAATTTAGCATGAGGAAGAGTCCCTGTTTAATTTGATAATAGTATAATGCCTTTGGATAGTTTTAATTTTGTCAGATACATGACTGATACACAGGAGCTATTTGGTTTTGAGGAGTGGTGTGTATGTACCCGAGGAAGCCTTGGAGAGTCGATTGCCCCATTTTTGTTGAGGTGACTGACAGACTTTGGCAAGGTCAGTACCCTATAATCATTGTTTTGGATGTATTCCTTACTCTTTTCTATAATTACCCATTTAATCCCCTTGCCAAAAACTGTGGCAAAAGTTGCAATTAAAAATCGAGCAGCAGATGTATTTGAGTAGGCTCAGGGGCAGGGAAGCCTTTAAGCCTGTGCACGGTTTGCAGTTGTCACGCAGGGACTGGCGTGAGCGGAATCTCGGCCAGGATTCGGTCAGTGCCCAGAACTCTGGGCTGGGCGGGATCCTCAGTTTAGCGTTGAAGTGACTCTGGCAACTACAAATCCCAGGGAGCATTGCTGGGAGCAGGGTTGTGCGGGAGGGTTGGCATCCTGCAGGCACCAATGGCAGCCGAGAACTCCTGTGATCCCTGCGTGTCAGCTGCCAGCGCTCCAAAGCGCCGGAGAGAGCTGGAGAGCGGCGGGGGAGCTGCCTGTTGCCCTGGGCTGATTTAAAGTCCTGTGGGAGCTCTGAATTGATATTGTGTTCTACAGCCTCTGTGCCGGCTGGAAAAAGCCCGCGGGAGTAGTGCCGATGGATGCGATTCTGAACTGCAGCGCGGAGGATTTGGAGGATTACTACAACTTGCTGGGATGCGACGAGCTGTCGACGGTAAGAACCTTCCCTCGCCCCCCCGGTTAATCACAGTTTGGATGTGCTCGGCTGTCCGCGGGGGATTTGCGGGCAGGACTGTCTGAAATGCCTGGTGAACCTTCTTTCTTGCCACTTGTAGCGTCTCCCTTGGAAAGCTCGGTTTTCTGATGTGTGCACCGACGTGAAGAGCCCAGAATGAGGTTAAAAGTACCCTGCAGAACAGGAGTGTGCTACGGATACAGCCGAAATAATGGTTTATTTATTAGTGTAGATCAACGAGTGGTATGGTTACGAATCACAAGCCAACTGCATACATGTGACAGCATCCAAATAATATTTTGGAATATGTTACCGGTTTTGAAAAATGAAAAGAAGCTATTTATATGCTGCTAATACGGTGAATGTTTATATAGCTATAGGGCACTGATAACGCTGCTGAGTTTCTCAGGCCCTGTACATATTTCACGTTTTTTAAACCGAATTCATTGGTTCAGAGGAAAAACAAAAACAATATCTCTTTTTTGTCCATCATATTACTGGTTTTAAGTGCTATTTTTAATGACATTAAAATACCAGCTTTACTAATTTATTTCGGTAGCAGATATGTTCTTTATAATGAGACATCTAGGTAAGCAATTGTTGAGTGATTTGTAGCTAAAACATTCTAAATGTAGCTTCATTCTAAAGGTGTCTGTATAACATTTTTTTGAAAGTCTGGTATGCTATTTTTTTTTTTTTTTAAGATCTAACTGTTATATTAACTGGAATTGTCTATCTGTTTTGGAAAAGGAGCTTTGATTACTCTGCTGTAATGAGAGATGTATTCAGTGGGGGTAAAAGCTGAATTTTCCCACTAAATTTAATCTCTTGCCTGTCCTAGTGGTCAAGTGTAAAGATCAAGAGGAGACATCTTCGTTGTGTCTCAGAAGGAAATGTAAAGCTTTTCCTGAGGAAACTCCCAGAAGGGATCCCAGCAGAGGGCAGTGCTCAGGTCTCCGTGCAGGCTTGTTTCGCAGATGCTGTTTCTCATTTTCTACCTCACACCAGTTCCTTAAGATCTTAGCAATTAACGAGCAGTTCAAGTACATCTGATAACAATTTTTCAAGTTGCTTAAAATGAAATTAAAAAGCTGGAATAAATGCTAGTGGGCCCTGAAGAACAAGCTGTCAAGTACTGTTTGTTGAGAGAAGCAGCAGATGTTGCTGCCTTGTTTTTGCCATGGTGAGGTCACAGGCTGACTGAGCCCTGGGATCAGCTCCCCTCAGGATGCTGCACAGCACTGCTAAGGTCTAACAGAAATTTGGAGCATTACAAGTGTTTTGCAGCCACGCTCCTTTGTACATGCAGTCAAGTATTTGTAGCTACTGTCCAGATTTTAACTTCGAAGTTCCCCTTTAAGTAACTTTTGAGATGGTAGCTGGCTATACAGTAACCAGCTTCATCAAGTTCTCTGTAGCATATATGTGTTCTTAAGTGTTGCACTGACTGGAAATACACCATTACATCTGCTCCTCCAGAAGAAGCCACTGAGAAGAGGGAAAATGTAGAATTCTTAAGATACCACCATAGACCACATTTTTTCCCAGCATATGCCAACAAAATTTGGCCAGCTAGTTGAGTGAACTGTGATTTTATTCTAAAGGAAAATTGTTATGAGCCTTAATTTTGAAATAAGTAATTTAAATTGTATGTAGCTCTCATGGTTTGAAGGATGAGGAATTTATATAAACAGCCTTTCTTGTATGGGAAAGAATAGTAACTAATTGATACCTCAGGGTGAATTGTTGTGAAAGCTTAAGCTGTGCTGGAAGGATATAAAGAAGTTTTGGCTTCTAAATTACAATAAGCAGAAAGATACTTGGAAAAGCACTAAACATTTGAAAATCTAAGCTGATGTCCACTCCAGTGGTTTCTTGTATTTTGTTAACTGTTGTTATGTCTTTGTTTTTCCAGTGGTTGTGATACTTTATGGTACTACTAACTGTGTGGGAACTTGTAATTCACTAATAAATGTGCTAATATTGATTATAAATCTATTCCAAGCCAACCCTTTTGCACAAAAAATTAACTTGACAGAAAGAATGTGAACTGCTGGTTATTTATCTAGCAACGGGGTATCCAAGATGGAAAAGCCACGTGGTGCTGGCTGAATTTCCTATGAAGAGGATATGGAGAAAGCCACCTAATCCCACAATTTGATCTTCAGAAGTACAGAAGGAGTTAGAGTTGATTAAACAAAGTAAAGAGCAGCTGAAGTGAGGCATTTTGCCTGGGTGGTCAAATGCCTTTACACATTTTTCTTAGAGCCAACTTGCCGTATTGGATGACTGAGCTTCATAAAAAGAAGACTGAGTGCATGGAAAATGAAATTAAGTAAGCAGTGTCACTGGCAGATGGTTGTTGTTACCTACTGTGCTTGTACTAAAGGTTGTAAAAATGAATAGGACAAAATCTTTCAGCATTCTTAGTTAATTTTCCCAGCCCCTTTCAAAAATCAAATTTGAAAACCTTTTCTGTGTCTACCTATTTAACTACTTTAAATCTCAATATTCTCTTTAGGTTGAACAAATTCTTGCAGAATATAAGATTAAAGCCCTTGAATGTCATCCTGACAAGCATCCTGGAAACCCCAAAGCAGGTATGTATTATATCCTGTTTAAAAACAATTAACATGTCCAAGATACTAAATTCAACCTTAAAACTTTGTTAAATGTTCCTTCCCCTCAATATATTTTAATCATCATGTGTACTGAGCATATTCTACTTAAATAGTAAGCTTTTAATATTCTTTTCTAAGACTTGCACACATCTAGGTGATAGTGCAGGAAGACACATGTTGAATTTTTTTGTTTTTTAGGATTTTTTTTTTTCCCCATGGCTTGTTTTTCCCCCAAGAGCAGGGACCTGAGCTGTGAGGACTAAGCAGCACCTGAGTTATTTGGATCCAGTCTTACCCATTCATAACCACAGACAGGTCTGGTCAGTGCTCACCCACGTCTGAGGAGTTTATATTCTTATATTCTGATCGTGATTTTGATCCCCCACCAAAATTTGGTTGTTGAATAATTTAATATGCTTCTCATTTTAAATAACACACGGAACTTTTTCTTTGGATTCTTCCTATTAGTTTAACTATAAACTATAAAGCAGGGCTTTCCTTTCCTTAGTGAGTTCACAGGAGAGGAGGGGGCTGTGGGTGTTTAAAAAGTAAAGTAGGTGGCATTTTTGACTTTGAGACCCCCTGAGATTTGCTGTTTGACAGACATCTACCACCTATGAACAGTAACCTGATCACTAATATTTATTCAAAAATGGTAGCACAAGTACCAATGAAATCAACTTTGCCTGCAGAAAATTCTGGCTACTGCAGCAGGGAAATGAGATTATTCCAGTGTCCTGTTCTATCTGTGTACCCCTGGTCTGTGTCATATCTCTCCCTCCTAATCAATTGAAACTAAGTAGCTCAAAAAAGAGAGGCCAAATGCCAAATATCAAACCAGCTTTGTTTGTCAAGAAGAAGTGTTTTATGCTCTATTTAACTGAATATGCTGTATTTACTTTAAATACCTTTTTATGCTACTGGTAAAAGTTAATATTTTTTATTTCATTGGCTTCAAGCTCAATAAAGAGTAATTAAAGTAGACCTTTTCTTTGTTGAAAACTAGTAACACTATAAGGAAACCTAATAGAAGTGGCCCCTCAACCTGTTGTCTCTTGTTTGATTTGTAGTTACCAATTTTGGTTAGTGTTTGGGCATAGTGTATTTCAAAAGAAATCTCTCTAATTTGTAGACTGGAATAAATGAATAATAGATCACTGTAAATAGGTGAGTCATAGATAAGGTCTAAATCTTTATAACCCTTCTACAAATAGTAACATGCAGCTGCATCCTTAGTAACCGTTTCATGAGAAATGACCCTGTAGGGAAGAAGGAGAGCTCTCATTCATACAGTCTGGTATTCAGGATGACATTTTAGCATATATAGAGAGGGCACACCTAACAAAATGCACAAGTTAATTAATTTGAACTGTCTTTAGATTATTCTTCTTGCTTGTCAATGTCTGCTTGTCTGTTTTTCCCCTTTTCATGTTTTCCTGGTGGTATACCTTTCTCTGACATCCTTGCTTCTGTAGATCCAAGTGTGTTCCTTCTAAAGAGTGTTGCTCTAATTTCCCTTTTTCAGGTTGTCTGCAAGGGCTGACTTGTGCCTTTTGCCTGTGTACTCTATAAGGTTCTCTCAGCTTAAATTTAGAAGCTTTTGAAGCCAATAGACTAAGCAGCATTTTATTCCTCATTTGAAAGGGTATCAGCTGTCCACCAAAGGTGTTCCCAGCACCAGCTACAGCTGTGCAAGCTGGGAGCAGAACAACCACATCCCTCGTTGACTGGCTTCTCCTTCTGCCTCCTCTGTTCTGTTTGCTCTGGGCTGTTGTTGGCATCTGAATTCAGTGCTTTGCAAACAAATACAGGCTTTAGCATCCTTTTGGTTTGTGTTCTAGTGGAGAGTTTCCAGAAGCTGCAGCAAGCTAAGGAGATTCTCACTAACGAAGAGAGCCGGGCGCGCTACGATTACTGGCGACGAAGCCACATCACCATCCCCTTCCAGCAGTGGGAGGCCCTGAGCAGCTCCGTGAAAACGGTTGGTGCTGTCTAAGTTGGGCCTTCAGCAGGAAGGGAAGGTAGGGCTGGGCCAGACAAAAGGGTGCAGCAAGTGAGGGGACAAGTTCCAGCAGTGGTGGGGTTCGGGGATGGGAATAGCACGGAGTGATTCCTTCCCTGTGGATGTGCAGGAAAAATTGCAGGGCTATAGAAGCCCGTTCACAGAAGGGTGTTAGGCCAGTAGTTTTAGAGTGAATTTATCAAGTTGCTGCTTTTGTGTGTGTGTTACAGGAGGTTTAGGGGGCCCCCTGGTGGTCTAGTGGTCAGGATGCGGTGCTCTCACTGCTGCGGCCCAGATTCGATTCCCGGTCAGGGAACCCCTCCGGGCAGATGGAGCTCGTCAGCCCTGTAAGGCCATCCATCTAAGAGAAGGTCACTAAACAAACCCACGTCCTGAGGAGCTCGCTGCCACCATCCGAGCTTCGCTCGGCCCCAGCAGTTGAACCTTAGGATTAAAGGGTGGGCTCAGTTCAGTGCACACTGTGTCTCACCTAAAAAATCCACTGCGCAGGCTCGAAGGGTAAAGACCTTTCCCAAATCTTCGCTCGCGAAGACTGGCCATACTAAGCACACTAAGCACAGGAAGTTTAAGTAACTTGAGGGCTGTTTCCAAATGCTTCAGCATGCCTTGTTTTTGTGGGAAACTTTTATTTCTTTTCAAAGTTAGATTAAAGCTGGGACCTTTTTATAATATTTTCTCTTTTGGTATATTGCTTATCAGATAGGTTTTCATGCTATCTGATTAAAGAAAGAGCTCATTGAAAAATCCAGAAGATAGGTTCCTTTAAACCCTGGGCTTCACACAGGGCTTTGGAGGGACTCTGCTGGGCTAGTGGGATGACTTGTGACAGAGGCAGATGTTCTGAGGGTTGTTTTCCCTCATAATTTTGCTAGTGTGTTCCTAACAGATCTTAATTCCATAATATTTGATTTTTTTTTTCTGCCTTATTAGAGTGAGTGATAGTTACAAGTCTATATAGTCATATTTTAAGACAGGTGAATAGAAGTTTCCTTGGTCAATTCTGCCCACCTCAGTTCTGCTTAGGAGAGAAGTTTGAGCCTCTTCAACTAAAGCTTTATGCCTGAGCTTCAGTGTTTGCTGTTAGCATGCCATGTAACTGAGTTCAGTTCAGCTTTGAAGAAGAACATTTCTGAAGTCACTCAAGCCCTCTTAAAAATTTTATGTCTGAATTCCTGGCAGAAGAAACTGGAAGAAAGGTCCTTAGAATTATCTGATGCATTTGTTCTTCATCCCCATGTGACATAAACTGTCCTCTCCAATGCTGTGACATGTAACCATGCTTTCCCCTGTCCATTCACCTGCAAGCTTCTCTTAATATGTGCTTTGTTTAACCATTAATTACAACCATATAAGAAAGAAAAGTTCATTACTTCTTTTTTACAGCACAGGAATTAGTTACTTGTTATTTATTCCTTTAGTCAATGCACTGGGCTGTCCAAAGTAAGAAGGACCAAATGCTGGAGGCCCCTGACTTCAGTAATACCAACATAACTAATGAGATTTGGACCCAACAGACGGAAAACAATGAAGACGGATTGTTGGGAGGGAACAGAGAACAAGATGATGTTGCAATTCCTGATGTGAAACCACAGTCTTCAAAGAATCCAGACTCCCCAAGTAAGTGAAAACAGCAGTTACAGAAAATTGCAGTTTCCAGGGATTGGCCTGAAATGGGGGCTTTTAATCATGAGCAATTCTCCTTCAGAGTAATATGTTTAACTGGTAGGGTTTTTTTCATGATTTTGGGTTGGAGTTTTGGTTTTGGGGTTTATGCTTTTTATTGTTTATTCCGAAGTTTTCAGACCTTTCTTCTTCCTTACCCCATGTTTCCTTACTTGTTTTCTAGTAAAGCCAGAAAACTGGAGAGGAAGAAGAAAAAAAAAAGCTTTTACCAAAATGGAAAGTTTAGTTTTGCTGCTATATGAAAAGGAAAAATTTAAAAAAAGGCTGTTGTTTTCAGTGACTTTTTAAAAAAATAACTTTTAAAACTATTGAGTAAAATATTTAGGTTTTGTTTTCTATCCAGTATTTATTCCTTTTGAGCAGTTTGCATCTGATGAGTTAATGAGGTCTAAAATTTGAGACTTGAAGGCTTCTTTTGTATTCAAATAGGTTTAAAAAAGTGCATGCAACCAGAATAAATGTGTACTTCAAAAGTGTCACCTACCCAGTCAGTACTTCTGTCTGTTGTTTAGGTCAGTGTGCCTGATCAAAGTTTACTTACCACAACAGCCACCCTCTGTTCTGCCTGATCCTTCAGGAGTTTCAGAATCTTAGGTTTATATTATCAGAGAACTATTATTAAACAAAGTCCTGTAATTTTTTTTTCCCAATTTGATCAAACAGGAAATTAAGTTCAGCTGTGAGGATAGCAATCCCAACCACTTGTGGAATGCAGAAAATAGATGAGAAAATTATACAAACAAATGTATGTCAGGCCTGACTGAAAACTTGATATTGAAAAATTATGTTCTATACTTTACACTATTTGCCCATTTTTTGGTAATTAAATCATCACTATATCCCTTGTAGAACAGTAAAATTTTGAAGTAAAGAAAAAATCATCCTGTTTCTTGTAATGGTGAATTTTCTTTGCAGGCATCTTCTTTCTCAGGGTTGTTGTTGTTTTTTTTTTTTAAGTTTTAATTTAATTTCCAGATATTTGAATGGGAAAAATATCAAACCCATCAAGCACCTACTTAATTTATCCAGTAGGCATATATTTACATTAATAAATGTTGATATTATAATATATTTATTTGAGAGGGTCTGTATGTACTTCAGTGTTTATACTTAATGTTAGAATATTGATAATGCTTTCGTTTTGATTCAGGAAAAATTGCTACATTGGATTCCACTTTTAAACTGTGATATTTTCAGTTCCTGTCTGCTGGTCTGTACAAATTACAGACGACAACTCAACATAGCTCTTTCAGCCTGCAAAAGAGATTTTAACACTAATTCTGCTAATAGGTTTCATTTTCCTGATATAAGAAAATCACATTTTAGTATTAATGGGCAGATTTATCATGTCACCATCTGTCTCTCCTTCTTTAGATTAAGCCAATGCAATTGGTTCAGTTTACTTTTGTGAATCCTCTTTTGTAGACTGCTGTTGTTCTTGCTGTTCTCTTTTGGACTCTTCCCAGCTGATCTATACTTTGAAGTTTGGTATTTGAGTTCTTGTTTAAACGTGTCAAGAATCCTGACCCTGCTGGTCAGGAGCACTGGAAGTGACCAATTTTTTGTTTACTTTTTTGGGGGGAAGACTATCAAGTATTATTTCAGACAACTTAATTTTTTACTTAATTTGTAATAACTTACTTGCCTTTCTCTTTTTCTTAGGATTTTCAGAGGGAAATTACTGGCACTTGCGTTTCCGCTGGTCAGGTGATGCTCCATCAGACCTGCTGAGGAAATTCAGAAACTATGAGATCTAAAATGCAAAATATACCAGAGCATGAGATCACGTGTTCGACAGTGCAGTATTTTTGTTTGTCAGCAGTTATAAGTTATTTGTGTTTTGTATTCACTCCTTGTAACGTGAATGTTGTTCCAATCAATGTCTAAATACTGGTTTAACACACGTGCTGTGAGCATTGCAGGTGGAGGTCTTTTTGTTTAACAAGCAAAGCCTTTTCAGTATTAACATGAAATGATTTTGTGAAGTTATCTAGTATCTTATATATTGTTTCTTGTATTCTGAAATACTGTGTAGTGGTTAATATTTCTCTGAGTGCTGCGATGTTATAAAGAACATACTCTCAGTAGAACCAAAAGCCAGTGTTGGACTTCAGGGTATCATTCTGTTCAGAGATGACCATCCTAAAGCTCTTTGACAATGAACTGTAAACAAAACTGTGCTTATTTCTGAACTCTGTGCTCTGGTTCACTTCTCCATGGCATTGTACGCACTGCAGTGATTTATAATGCAGGCAGTCACAAACTTAACTTGTTGGAGAATTGTGATCTTATGATAGAGATGAAAAAAGAAGGCTCTTATTATCCAAGAAGGTCACTGTGATAGATCAAACACTCCTAAAATATCTCTTAATTTCTACCCTAACGAGTACAGCTATTTGCACCAGCTATTTATTTTGGAAGGCAGTTCCAAAACTTTACTTGTCCAGGTAGCAATGTTTTTTAATTAAGATTTATTGGTGGACAACTGATCCTCCTTGTTATGTGTGCCAGCATTGTCCTTTGGCTTCACAGCAATTTCCCCACCCTGCTCAGGTGGGGGTAGACATGGTTTTATCAGGATTTTGTATGGTAGGAATGAAGAATCAGAGAAGTCAGCACTAATGTGTACAAAATCTCACATGCTAGGTTTTTGATATTTTGGGCAGCTTCTCAAATTCTACATAGTTGTTTATTTATTTTGTATTTGCTTTCTTCTTTGCAAATCTGGCTAATATGTCAGACTTTGTGGTTTTGTGTAGGCAGATAATTCCATCAGCAGCAAATAAAACTGCCTGCATAGAGAAAAGGGGTTGCTTTCATCTTTTTAATTAAATCTTTCACCCACCACAGAGATCCCTTTAGAATTTCTTATTATTTGTACCCTCAAGTGAGTGAAAGCTTAAGAGATCTTAAGTTATGCATCTTGGGCATCTCACTGGGAAGTATAACCTGAAAAGTACAGTGTTCTGCCACCATGGAAACAATGCTATGATGATGTCTGTCTCCCTCATGCAGGGCTGATGTGCTGATTGACCTACTGAGCTTCTCCTTGCATATTTTGCAGCTGGAAACATTTTAGAGATGAGATTAATAATTCTCTAATATCTGGTAAATGTAATCAGTCTTTTTTTTTAGTGCATGTGCTGCTTTACTTCATACAAAGGTATTTGCTCAAGAAAGACTTTCAGTCCGTATTATAAAGAGGGATTGTAAACAGTGTCAAACAGTAGTAATAGAAGAAACTCTGGTTCATTTGAAGGATATACAGTAATAGGGAACAATTTTCCCTCTAACAAAAAAATGGGAATGCAGCCAGCTGGAGCACTTCGAATCAGGTGGCAGCTCAGATTCTCCTCTCACCATTTCGCTTGCCAGTAAAAGTGAAAGGGGGTAGTTGGATGGATGATTTAGCACTTAATGAGCTGGTTTCTCTTGAGAAGTGAGTACACAATAGACCTTTGAACAGCAGGCTCATTGTTGGTGTCATTAAAACTGATGTCGTGATTAGCCAATTGTTGCACGGTTTGTTTTGGCAAAGAACCTTTGGGTGTTTGTTCTGGATGAATAATTGCAGATATTTGGAAGACTCTTAGCCTAGTGAAAGTTGATGGCAAAACTTGTGTTTTGCAATGTGCCTGCTAGAGATCAGTACTGTAATTTGTATTTGCCCTCTGAAGAGGGCAGGTTATAACTGGTGCTCCAGAACACCAATACCATCAATACAGCCTTTTTTCTTTTTCTGTTTCTCTGTGTGTTAAACTTGAAATGGTTCTGTATTTCTCAACTAGAGTTGAATTAACCTATTCCTAGCAGAGCAAACCCAGGGATACTGGAAGGCCAGAGGACCTTGTGCAGCTTTTTGCTTTTTTTCCCCCCAAAAAACAGGTGGGAGCTGACCTGTTGGCCAGTAACAATAGTTAGCTGGAATAAGTGGGCAGCCTAGTTCTTCATCATGTAAGAAAGTAAAGAAATAAACACCTGACAAATTAGTCAGTGTTAGATGACTCAGGGTCCACCCTCCGAGGGTAAGCTGCTTCTTTGCCTTTTTTTTTTTTTTTTTAGAAGTTTTTCTGCTAGTAGCATGAAAAGACCCAGCAAATATTCCCCATGACATTTTTATCTACAGTGTGGTGCCTCGGCCTGGGCAGTGCTGAGCACGTTACACACTCCACATGCTTAAATTTTGACTGGGTCGGGAGTTGTGAGGTGGATCTCAGGCTCTGAGAGGATGTGATAATGAGCCAGTGGTCAGGTGTACCTGGTTTTCAGTGGCACACAGAGAATTTAACTTGCTTTACAAAGTGGAAACAGCTGCAAGAGGTTGGTTGTGGGGGTGGGGAACAACAGCGACAAACCCAGACACCACATGTTAGATTAGGGCCCTTGAGTCTCAAGCTGGAGGAAGAGGGCAGTTCTCTACAAGTGATGGTAAGGTCTCATTTTCTTTTTTAGCACTTCTTGTGAGTTGTTTAGGTGGGTAACAAAGGGCTCTGAATGCTCTGGGTACCTGAGAGGTCTGACTTGGTGTGTGCTTCCATCACAACTGAGCATTACCGTGCTGGAATGCTACAGCTCTGAATGACTTGGTATGAGAATAAACTGAGAGGTGAGCCCAGCTCCTCTGGAGTCCAGTCAGAAGTGTTAATAAAGCTTGGCCATTACTGCACTTGTGAGGGCTGAAAAGCTTCAATGTGGAAGTTATGAGATAGCAGATGGGGGTGCAGGTGGATGATGACAATAAAATACAGAGAATGGGGCATGTTGTTGAATGCTGTGTTTGAGACTGTATTTGTAAGATCAGAAATTAAGCAACTATTTAGCCAGTTGTTTACAGTGTAACTGAGCAGCTGGGGGGGACCCTTGAATTATGTAAGATTATTATAATTTTATTTACTGCTGTCGTACTTGTTGTGCAAATGCGGAATATATAAGACCGAGAATGTTCTAGTTCTTGACAAACTTATTGTTTTGTGAGTATTTGCTAGGTTGTTTTGCCAACATTTCCCAAGTAGCAATGTAAGAATTAAAGTTTGGATGATGAATACAGACAGTATATGACTTAAAATCTCAGGCTGAGTAATGCTGAATGATAGGTAAGGTTGTTTCCTGAATGTTCTTTTTGTCTTTAAATGAGATTTAAAAAAAAAAAAAAAGTAGTTTATAAGTTTTATAGCAGAAGCAAGTATGCTGATGATGATTGAAATAGATACTGGGTAGCTTTAATTTCCTGAGCATGAACATTGCTATCTTACCTTCCCAGCAGGCTCATCTCTCATTTCAGGATATGAAAGTGTAAGCAGTGAGGCTGTTGTAAAGCTGATGAAATTACACAGCTAAAGATAAAGCACCTCAGTAAGTTGTCAGGCTCTGTCACTGTCAGATGGGGAGACATTTATCAGTTAGTTCATGCTGGGTATTTTTGTGGCAGCCCAGTGTACACACTCCTCCTGCTGTTCCAGGAGTTGCCAAGCCTCCCCATGATGGCAGGCACTGGGTCTGTTTGTGCTTTCACCTTCACTGTGTTTAGTCTCGTCTCCTTCTCGTGTTAATGAAGATGAGACTCTTCAGGTGCTCTGTTTGTCCCAGCTTTGAAGGGTTTGTGTCTGAGTTATTACGGTGGTACACAGGATAAACTTGGAGCTTTTAAATGTTTCAGTCTCTGATGGATATTCTAACCTGTCACAGGTGATGGATGCTGGAAAAAATGATTTTTCTTTCCTCTGTTCCAACTTCACACTGGTTTGCTCTTTCTCCCTTCTTCTGGTGGAGCAGTAAGGGAGAGGGGCTACTTCCAGAAAATGAAGTTTTTTGCCAAAGTTCAGAAGGTTTCCAGCTCTGATATGTGTTGTGGTACTCAGTGCTTTGGACGAAATGATTTGCCTGCTGCTTTGTCAAAAGTGCTTCTCTTAAAATACAGAAGGACTCTTGGCAAGGACTCTTGGCACCAAAGGCAGACAGCTTTTCTAGGGAGATGCAGTTTGACTCTTGGGCGTCAGTCCTTACAGAAACGACTTTGTTAGGATTGTCAGAGCTGGTCATTCACTTCAATGGAGCCCCCAGATTCTCGCTGGGTGGAGAGAGGACTGTCAGCTCCTCCTCTTCCTCACAGACTTTGTGTGAATGATGGCTCTGGGTGGGTGGTGGGCAGGAGAATGAGCAGAAGGGCCCAGAGGAGTAAGAGACTGTTGCAGCTCATTGGGTCTGGGTGCCTTTGGTGTCTTCTGCTACTTGAGGTCCTGAGCCCAGGACGCTGGTGCTGTGTCTGGAGCTTTAGTAGGCTGCTTGGCAGTCCTTACTTATTTTCTTCTGTAATTACAAAAAATAACTGCAATTAAAACCATATGATTCTTCCCCTTTAGTGCCTTGATGGGAACATTTTCATAACCCTCGCTGATGGGTGAGAGTGGGAAAGAACTTGGGTATTTGCTGCTGCTCTTTTTTCAGCTGCAAAGTTTGGGGGAAAATCTCTTTCAAGTTGAAAAGGTTCACTGAATGCAAATACTTCCTTACACTGAGCAGAGTTTTGTTGTTTTTCTGACAGACTGGCCTCTTGTTTTTCAATATAAAATTTAAAATAACGACATATTTTGGTGTCAGTCATTTGATATTTCCAGCCCCAGCAAGGTCCAGTGAAAAGGACATCCTGAAGTAAACTTCCTAACAAATGTTTATTTGGGTTGGTGCTTTGTCTTCAGATTTATGAAAACAATGAAACATGTCTTTTGGAAATAAGACCCTGAAACTGGTCAGAAAAAAACCTGTCAACTTCTTCAATGATACAGTGGAAAAGAAGGATTAGCTTGGCCACTGTTTAGGAATTTGAGTCTTTTAATACTATCTCTTTATTAATTTGGAAAGCCCCCCCAAACTGCGTTACACAACATAGTGTTTCTCTCTTCTGTTTGAGATTACAGAGGTGGGAAGAATCTTCAAATTATAAAGGAAAAAAAATAATTTAAATTCTTGGCTGATTAAACAAAATCAGGCCTTATATGTGGAAAATAGGGTAGTTTTTTTAAAGTTATCTGAAATGTGCACACTCCCTCAAAATTTTGATATTTTGCAGAGTGACTAACATGTTGTACTGTTCTTAACACAAAATTTTAAGCTGCTGTGAGAATATAAATATGCTAAGGAGAAAGTAGCACATGTACTGCACCTTGGCAAAGGATATATAAGTTGGTATTGAATTTAAAAACTGCCTCCTCTGCAATGTCTGAGATAAGATGTGCAATTCCAGTATCCACTGGCACGTACTTTCACCTCTGTGAACTTAAGAGAAATGCCTTATATTATGGTCATATATTACACAGTCCCATTGTCAGTTATTTAGCAGTTTAAAATTCCCTTTAAAGTGTACCTTCTAACTTACATGTGCCCTAACAGGAACAAACACCAAAAGCTGAAATCCTTGGAAAGCCTGGTTAGGGAGCTTTTTGAAATGTTCGTATTTTGCTGCCAGCTTAAACAATTGTTTGTTTGTTCCCTCTTTTATTTTGTTCTGAGCAGGAATAAATCACTGTTTCCTTTTCTTCCTCCGTCTCTATTTTTTGATTAAATTAAGTTGCATTAACAAAACACGATCCTAGAATAAATGGGTTTGCATGTGTGTTTGTGTTGGGTTTTTTTCTCTTTAAGAGAGAGAGAGGAGTGAAAAGTGGTCGTTCCTGCTCTGGCCTATTTTAACCTCTGTGAAAATGGTCTTTTCCTTATTTCCAGCCTTTTCTTACGTGACTCGGTGAATTTTTCAGCCCTTCACTAATGCAGGAGCCACACAGAGGAGGAGACTAACGCATCTGAGTGGTGCAAGTCAGTTTAAGCCAGTCAGAAGGAGGGGATTGAGGGGGCCTTCTTTTGTTTTTCTTGGTTCTTAGTTGCGAAATAACTTCCGTGGGGCTTTTTTCCCCGTCATTGCCAGATTTTGCATGTGTATGTGTGCATGTCATGCATGTGCAGAAGGTCATAAAGGGCTGGCAAAGATGATCTAGGACCCCCTCCGTGGAGGCCTAGGAGGAATCGGACCAGCTTCCTTCACGAAATTGAAGATTCCATGGAGCAAATGCATTCCATACGGAGTAGCCTGCTGCTGGCAGGGTTTTATTTGTTTTATATCAGCTGTTGGACATGGGGGCAGGACAACAGTCCTTTGGGCAGGTCAGTACAATGTTTTTGTGTAAGGCATTGGATTAATCCTGAGCTTTGCACTTGGACACTGCCTGTCCTGTCCCCAGAGCCTGGACAGTGAGCTGTTAAAAGAACACTGATCCCCATGTGCCCTTCTCTCACCTCCACCAAGTGCTCTTATCACAGGTGCTTCAGATGCAATGCCAGAAACTTGCCCTGGGACCTATTGCTGTTATTTGTTGTCAGAAGTAGGGGAGGAGTGTGTAGGCCTGGCCTAATGAGCTGCAATAGGATAAATATTATAGGTGCAACAAAAACGATTAAGGGACTGGAGCATCTCTCCTGTGAGGAAAGGCTGAGGGAGCTGGGCCTGTTCAGCCTCGAGAGGAGAGGAGAGGAGTGAGAGAGGATCTCCTTAATGTGTCTAAATATCTAAAGAGGAGGTGCCAAGAGGATGGAGCCAGGCTGTTCTTGGTGGTGCCAAGCAATAGGACGAGAGGCAACGGGCAGAAACGATGCCCAGGATGTTCCACCTGAGCACGGGGAAGAACTTTGTTCCTCTGCAGTGACCGAGCACTGGAATAGGTTGCCCAGAGAGGGTGCGGGGTCTCCCTCACTCGGGATATCCCAGAACTGTCTGGACACAGTTCTGTGCTGGGTGCAGGGAGGTTGGACCAGATGATGCACAGCGGTCCCTTCAGTCTTGCCAATCCCGTGAAATACCGGGTAATCTCTCATTGTGCTGCGGAGGTTTAGCAGCGAGAGAAGACGTGAGGAGTAAAACTTGTGTGTTATAAGAAATAAAAGGGCACGGCGGGAAGGTAAAAGGTGAACATCACCGACCGCAGCGAGCAGGGTTCGAACCTGCGCGGGGAGACCCCATTGGATTTCAAGTCCAACGCCTTAACCACTCGGCCATCGCTGCTGCTAGCGACAGCTGGGCTCGGCTGCCTCCTTATAGGGCGTTCCGTCGCGGGAGGCCACGCCCCCAGCCCTGCGGAGCCAATGGGCGGTGCGGGCCCGCCCCCCTCTCTGAGGGGAGCCGCCGCCATGGCGGACTCAGGGCGCAGGGGCCGCGCTGGGAACACGAACAGCTGCGTGCGCTTTGGAGCGTTCCAGCCTGGAACGTAAAGGCTGTGTCCGCTCCCGCGAGTTAAGTGTGCGCACCCGAACGTGGTAGAGAGAGGGCAGCCAGGAACTGTGACAAAATACAGTAACGATAAGGCATTGCGTCAGCTCCCGCAGTGACGTTAATTTTTTCCCGTTTTTGCTGTTTCTTTCAGTTATTACAAAATGTCTCTATCATATGGCTTTTATATGTAATTTAATTAACTGTAGATATATTTTTTTTACCCTAGCAACAGTTAATTGTGCCAGCAGTAGTGCAATGGAAATCTAACTTGACTTTGTACCTGTGCTGCAGTGGGTAAAAATAATAATTTTACCTCATGTTCTCTCCTATAGTCAGAGCTCTTGTTAATACTTTTTTTTTTTTTTTATGAGTAGCTGGAGTGATATTGATAACTGTGCTTCCCTACTTCTATTTTATTTTTTTTGGTATGAATTATTGATCAAGAAGCACTCGTGATAAATCTTTGCCTTAGTACCAAAAATATTGCTGAATTAGTAAAGATCTTAAAATAGGCTCATGAAAACAGTCTTTTAGGACTTTTCTCTGGAAACTTGACCTGGGTAATGTAGAGAACAGGCAGATATTAGAAAGCACAAGATGTATCCGTAGTTTAAAAGAATTTAAAAGAGTGAAAAAAAGTAGTGCCTTCAGTACAGTGTATTATAGCTGATGGGAACTTCTTAAAGAAGTGGAGACTGTCAGATCATGTTTGCTATTGGGAAAACAAGTATTTGTCATGTCTCAGTGCCAGAAAAGACTTGTTGGGGCTTCTAGTACAAAGCTGTTGCTGCTTTTATTTATTTATTTATTTATTTTATTTACTTGAGGACAAGGAGCAGTTGTTTCCTTCTACACTGATGGATATGCTGCAAGATTAATTTTCTTTACAGAATACAGACTTCTGAAATCTGTGTGCAGGTAATTTTTTTAGGAAGATCTTAGGCAATGCAAGAGCATTTTCACTATTCAAAGCAAAAGGAAACCAAATTATAAAACCACACCGAAGTTCAGTTTTGGTAAGAGCCCTTCCAGTAAGGGTATTTGTTCTAACACTTCCTGAAGGGATTGAACCACAGCTCTTGTTTTTTTGGGTTGGTTCTTTTTTTTTTTTAATGAATGCCTTTTGACACTTAAAGTTGTTTAATAACCTGGAGGTCCATGCAATATTTGGAATGTTACCACCTGAGTCTTTTAGGTTATTTGCACAAAGTTATTTTACTCAGAAAAGATTAACAGAAAACTTTCAAATGCTCTACGTCTTGAATTTTGCCCACTTATTAAGGACAGTTGCTAAGAGGGAAAAATTCTCCTTATCTATATGAAACATAAAATATGCTTTTCCTGCTTTCCCAGATGCCTTGTTTTGTTATTTTCATTGAAGGAACCTGGGAGGGGAATCCATTCTATTACTGGGAGTCCTACATTTAAAGTGTCCTTAAAGTCTAACTTAAAATACTCTTGTTTTAGGCTACAGAACCAATTTTTGCTTTTAATTCTAGTGAAGTAGCACTAAGTAGTACTTACTTCTCTGAGAACTCTAGACCACGTTTTCCTTTTTACTTTTTGAAAGGAAAGTCTTTTTTAAACACTCCATTTCTTGATTGAAATGTTAAATACATTTTTTAGTGAAGAATTTGTTATAGCTTTTTTTTGTTGTTGTTAGGACAATTCTTCTGTAAGCTGAGAAAATATGGAGATTGGTACTTTTCTACAGAGCGGTTTTGAGCTGCTTAATGTTCAAGAGAAAATGAAGAATCATTATGGTTTTTACTATTTTACGTGGGTTTGAGAGCAAGCAAAATCAACGGGAGTGGTGTCATTAACGTCTGTCCCACACAGATATTCACCTCACCAGAAGTCTCTTGCTGTTTGACTTACATTCTAACAGCTGCCTGAAACTATAATAGCACAATTCCTTTGTTAATTAGCATCACTACTAAACTATGGGCTTGTGTTTTGGAGGTTTTTTTGGATTTGCTCTCCTTGTCGAGACATGTTTTGAATCTACTGAAAATGATGCTGAAAAGACAGTTATATTCTGGAACCATGCAAAATACAGAAAAACCAAATAAGATACAGCCATAATAAATGGCAGTGCGGTCTCATTAACAAAGGATTTATTTACTTGAAAGCAAGAGAGAGCCAGGGCTGCCTGTCTGTGCCCCCGGGGGGGGACCACTGGGGACAGCACGGCAGGTCACCCCTGTGCTCCCACACACACACGCTGCTTCCTCACAGCAATGTCTGACTTCTGTGGTTTGAATTTAGGAGCCTTTGTTTCATAGCAGAACTAAGAAATCTGTTTTTTTTTCTTTAAATGGTAGTTGCCTTTATTTTGCATTTATATTAGTCTAGGACTCGGGATAAGCGTGCAATTTCAGTAAAATAATGAATAGTGAGAGTTGACTGTGTAGAAGGCACACAGGGTGTTATGTTTAACCAGCTACGTGCAACCGAATGTTGAAAAAAAATTGGTGTCTGTCTCTCTTTGGAAAAAGTTGTTAGTTGAGCAACTCTGGAGTGACCTCCAGTGTTCTTTGTGCAGGCTGCAAGTAAAGAGCTCACAGTACGTCTTGCAGGTACCTCGTGCAAAAGGTGCGGCTCTGAGTACTTTGATACATCAATTTTTGAAGATGAGCAGCGATCCAAAAGGGCTTGCAGCCTTCAGCCCTGGATACTGAGCTAGGGAAACTCAACAGTGTCTAAAAAAGACCCTAAACCCCAGACATACAAGCCTAAAGTAAAACGCTGAGATTTCTGAACCGGAATAATGTCTGTTGCCAAGTGCTGGAGAGCCTCTGCATGTACAGGCGTTTAATTAATAAAGCATACTGTCTGCTGTACATAATCCTATTTTTGAAGACCTTAAAGTCTGAGATACTTTAAGACCTTTAAGAGCCTGAGGCAGCTTGGGTAGGATAGAGCTTCCCAATCTGCGTGGGTCCTTTCCTAGACACTGAAGAGGAAGATCCTTGTTCCCAGTGGGCACGTCAGCGTACCTATTTCAGAATGGTGTGGGAAATTTTCCAGGAGTACTGTCCTGTAGCCATTAGGCAGCCCTGAAGGTAATTAGATATTAGGCTAAAAGCCTAACTAAAGCATTCGGCATGCCATAGGTTAAAGTTAATCATGTGTATGCATAAACATTGCTAATTTGTATGCAGTTATACTGTCAGAGGATTAGTTAATTATCAGAATTCGTGCATGTGACATTGCTTTTTGAATGTATTGTTCCAGAATTTTTGCATTTTTGAACCTATGGCACCTGTTTTTAAATGGAAATATAAATTACAGCTGACAGCCTTCATGAAGGATTGTGGGATTTAGAAAGTTTTCATAAAATTATAATGCACTTGCTTTGGAAATGCAAACTAAATTAAAGCCATCAATGCTTAGAATTTTGCTTCATGGCAGTAAGAAATGTGAAGTAAACACTAAAAAAAAAAAGCTTTAGTGTATCTCATGGGCATTTAATGAAGACTTAACTGATCCAAAATGGACACGATAAGAAATAAAATTTCTCAATGGGTAAGTGTATTTTGAAAGTGAATTTATCTCCCAAAGGGATCCTAAAAGTTTTATTTCTTACTCCCTTAAAACTAGCAAGAACTTAACACTGTAATAGATAACAGAGATAAAAATCTGGTTTAGGACTGTTATATAAAATAATGGTGCTGGGATAGAATTGCCTATATTTTTTTCATGTTTTTAATTTCTACAAGTAAAGAGGACAGATACTGAAAAATCTTTAGTAGGATATGGACAGATTAACCAACCAGTAGAAAAAATGCACAAATGTTTTCTTTAGAAATATGAAGCCCCAAGCGCTTTGATCCTTCATGTTTCTTGTCTTTCTTGACCCCTTAAGTGCAATGTTAATTTTGTGATGCTTGTTGTATCCCTTCTCACCCATTTGGTCTGTGGCCTTTTATTTAATCATTCTCTATCAGCTTTACCAATTCAATAGTTTCAACATTTATTCCTGTTAGAAATCTATGGTGCTTGCAACAGAAAAAATAGATTAGATTCTGCCCAAGCTAACAAGTAGAACAGAACTTTGTGCTTATGTGGAACTTGGAATATTCAAGAGTAAATTTTACATCTCCCTTGAAGGATGTGAATGAATTAATGACCCCAACACCAATTATTGTATTAGAACAGCTGATGTAGTCTAGCACCACTAGAATTTCATTTTAATGAAATTACTGACTCAGTGTTACAAGATTATCAAATTATATAACTGAATGTTGTTGGTGGTGTCAATGCAGCCAAATGTTTAGTTGCATTCTTATTTTTAAATAAATAATCCTAGTAAATTTAGGCATGTATGCACTACTAGATTAGATCCTTTTTCCTTAATACATTTTTACCAGATTTACTGGCTTTTAAACAAAATGAATGTACCATTTTCCTTCTTGCAGCTTGTGTGTTTTATACATACATTTACTACATTTTTGTGAAAACAGAAAGAAGGTAAGCAGATATGCTTTCAAAATACAGCTATACTAAATATCATGTGAAAATGCTAATCTTTACCAAAAATGCCGTCATGGTAGGTTTATTAATTAGGCTTGGCTTTCACAAGGCATCTGCAACACCATAAATAAAGAGGGACATATCATCCACCTGTACAAAAATAAAATATGCTTCTGGCTCCCGTTCTGTATTGCTTGGCTTTGGTCTCCTTTCTGAGCACAGATCCCTGTGTGGGTTTGGAGGCCCTGATTTACTTCACTTCTGTATGCTTCAAATCTTAAAATACATGACTTTCTAAAATTTATTTTTCATTGCATCACGTTTTCCACTTTGAGAGATTCTTTCCCCATTGTGATAATGGGTAACACCAGCAGGTGCACCTTGTGTTTAGTACCTCCAGATTAGCAGAAGCTTTAGAAAGTTTAAGTGAGATAGTGGTCAGTTATGAAAAAAAACCCCTTCATCAGAAAGTCTCCCTGTTGGTCAGTGGTTGGCTTAGTCACATTTGTGCCTAAACATTAAATCTAATTGTAGTATTGACAGATTGCAATTATCCTGGGCAAAAGACCACTCTACGTTTAATTCCCATTAAGCCTCAATGATAGATTGTAGCAGTAAACCTTTTCAATTCTTTATACATTGGAAATCAAACATATGCATTTTGAATTGCAAGACCTTGAATGAAGGAAAGGTAAAACTCAGTAATAGAGAGAATAAATACAACTTTGATTGTCCTGTAGAATCAATGTACCTTGGGTCTTTCAGATAAATAGCCCCCTTTTCCAAATGAAGCTTCTACATATACATTGTTATACAATATTGGAATATTTACCAATTACACACCTACTGTTAGAATTTTACTTGTGGAGAAATCTGTGGTATACAATGTTAGCACTCACAGTTAGAAGTTTGATTTTTATAGGTCTATATTGTTGCTGATTTCTGTCACTGATGGGCTGCATGCAAAGAAACACAGTGACAATGTGCTTTTGTTGAATTGTCTGAGAACCTTGTGATCTTCATGATTAATCTTTTTTAATCTTTGGTTATTCTCTCCTTTATAGGCTACATTTCCTACTCAAGAAAGATATTCCCAGTGAAAATTCCAAAAGATAGTTTGAAGAAACAAACCTAGAGCAATGGAGATCTTGAGATTTGTGTCCATGTGTGGATCCCAAGAAGAACTCAGGATGAGTTTAGGAACTTCAGGCATTGCTGTTTCATTTCTTACACTTACGGTGATATGAATAATTTTGCAATTTAAGCTTCTAAACTGCTAATTTCATATTGCATGCTTTCTCTAGTAGGGGGAATTAGTGCCTTGTCAGCAGAATGTTTTTAAAGAGTTGTCCCTTGAAATAATATTATTTACTGTTTGTATAGAATTGTATCTTATGGATTCAATATAGTTCTGACAAGCTTGATTAAATAATAATGTACAAATGTGAAGTGTATTAACTCTGTTCGGTGCTTCTATTAAAAGTAAATAAATCAGTAAAGCAACTGAAAATAGAAATGACTAATTACTGGATTTACTTTTGATAGCTGAAGGCAAATGGAGAGTCAGAATATTGGAATGTGCTTGTAGGTGCGGAGACCTTCGGAAGAAATGGCGAGGAGGGAGAGGTGGACACCTGCTCAAAGAAAATTTTGCTGCCAGGGAGAAGCTGTAACGTGGGAAAGAATTCGTCCTTGTGCAGGATGCTGTGTATGTTCCCTTTATCTGTCTGCTGAGAGGTGACTCCCTTGCTGCAAGTGATAAAATTGTCACAGCCGTGCCTGGGGGCCCCTGCAGGGGGGGGTCACGCAGGCCATAACCACAGGGGAGGAGTTTTATTTCTGAACTGTTTCAAGTTAGTTATTGCAGCAATGTGAAATTTCGTTAAAGAGTTTGTTTTGAAAATTTCCTTTGGCCTCGTTTAGTCTAAATTATTTAAGAAAACATGATGACATCTCTACTGGTGGACACAGGGTTATGTCCAAGGTCCTGTGTCTGGTGTGTCCGTGCCCTGATGCCATGCTGGGGTTAGATTTAGCCACTCAACAGTTAGGAATTTTTGACTTACCTTCTGTGGGAATGAAATCCAGGTACATGAGATGCATAAAACCCTGATGTGAATCAACCAATTTCCTTACCTGGGTGATCACAGGCAAGACTGGGATGTACTACAGATTGTGTTCACCCAATGCAGATATGGATACTTTGTTTGATTTGAAATTTTATTTATTTTTTATGGTTACCTTACTTGATTTATTAAGTTTTCAACGTGTTTTCCAGAAGTGTTGGGTCTGACTAGGTCTAACTCTCACTCAAAGCTATGAAATCCTATCCAGACTGTTAGGACAGAACACACAAAAGCAGAACTTTGTCTTGGGGAACCAAAGGGGAGAAAAAAATCACGGGAGTTAGCAAAAGAGGCTGGAAAACCTACTACCTGAAAAAAAATGTGTGTGTTGGAAGGAAGGATAAGTGAACACTGACATGAAATGATTTTAAATGAACCCCAACAAATAGGCTCAGTGCTTATGGACTACCTGTCGCAACGTGAAGGGAGAGTGGCAGGCAGAGGAGCAGGGGCTAGGGCCCCCTCAGGTCAGCCCCCATTCCCCTCAGGTCAGCCCCCCTTCCCCTCAGGTCAGCCCCCCTTCCCCTCAGGTCAGCCCCCCTTCCCCTCAGGTCAGCCCCCCTTCCCCTCAGGTCAGCCCCCCTTCCCCTCAGGTCACTTCCCTTCCCCTCAGGTCACTTCCCTTCCCCTCAGGTCAGTCCCCCTCCCCTCAGGTCCACCCTCAGTCAAGGTGTATTTCCCTGCCTGTGGTAAGGAATGGGGCAGGAGCCAGTGACCGTGCTCATCCTGGAATTCCAGTGGCCCATAGCAGCGGGGTGACTGTGGTGTTCACTTCCTGTGGTGTTTCTCTTTAAGTTTCAGGATTCTGTAACACAAAGACTTGGGCCCCCAAGGTCTTTTCTTCAGGAAAGTGAACTGGGATTTTTTTGTTTTTCATATGTAATTTCTGCATTTTATTGACTCAATACATCTCTTCCTAGTAATGGCACGGGACATTCGGGTATATACAGAACTTGATGGGCTAACACCCATTTAATGGTTGAAAGACAAATTTTCCAATCAAAACAAAGAGGATTGCTGTTCACTGCTGTAGTAATTTGCTTCATAAATAAAACACTGATGTAGTTACAAAGATCTAATGATTAAAAAGATGCAATAGGGATCATCTACATAACTTCATTTGTCTATATGGAATTTTGCAATGAAGTGAATTGTGGTTTTGTTTGTTCTTAACTTTAAACTAACATTCATGAACTGAGAGAGCTAACAAATGCTGAGAAATACTAACTGCAGTTAGTAAGATTTATACTTTCATTGCGTCCCATAGTTTTAATACGGTACTCAGAAAATTAAATCTTTTTTAGTCCAGCACCTTTCTTCTCTGTTTATTGTTGTTCATGCCTCCTAAATTCATGAATAACAAGTGAGCAAAGAAGGATTTTTTCCAAGGTTCGAGCTTGAAATATAAACCTGAGAGGAATGAATTATGAATAAAATTGTAAGTTTAATATGGCAATGGCAGGTACATTTCCCTGTAATAAATTATTGTACCATCTAGGAAAGTCTGCTTGGTTTATATGAGTAATATTTGATGCTTTTGCATCCATAATCCATTTTGCTGCATTCTTTCTATGCAGCTTTAAGTGCAGAAGACACTATTGAAATCAGTAGACCAAGGTGATTGATTTATTTTTTTCTCCTTGCAGCTGTTTCCGTACTGTCTCTTATGTATGTCCAAGTATTTGTGGGTTTTTTTTCTCTTTCTCTCTTCTGAGTAGTCACAATATGTACTCCTTCTTTAGTTGGTTATTTTTTTTTCCTCCTAGTCGAGCCTCTCCAGTGCTATTAGATGGTGTCAGATTATCTCAACCTTTGGGCTGTCTGTGCCCTTTCTACCTCCAAATAAACTAAAAATAGCAAAACTGCTTTGGTAGAAGTTTTCCAAAATGAAAATTCAGCCCATGACACATGGGCCTCATACAAATTTTCAGACTGAGTGGTTTAAGACCGCTACGATCTTAAGCAGCAGAATTAGAGTCTCTAGCAGAATAGATACAAATATTGAGCAACCTTTGCCTGTTTAGAATTTCCAGAGGTTTTTTGTTCATGAGTGCTATTTCAAACTGCATTTCAGGGTATTCAGATTTGCTATAATAGCAAATTAGCAAAACTTCACTCATGTCCATTTCCTAAATGGCTCTCTTGATGGAAAATCTTATAAATGTGGGATTATGAATCTGGAAGTATGTTTTGGTTGTTTTTTGAAGGTAAATGAAGAAGACTGTTCATACAAACCATGAACATTTATGATTTGTATATTGCATCCGTATTTGGGCTGGGATTTACAGTAATGGTCTTTGCTTGCTTTCTTCCCCTTTCCCTTCTCATGTTCCACCTAAACCTCCCTGATTTTTGAGGGGGCTTTGCCGTTTACTTCACTGGTGTCTGATTTAGGGTCTAAAAACTCGGTGTCAGACTACGTTTGCAAGACTAGGAATGAGCTTGGGTGTCTCTAAGTGGTGTTTTCAGTCGGGCACTACCACTTTGGGAGGAGTTCCAGTTGAGTAATGCCCTCCCAGTTTTGACTCTTCCCCTCCTGTTTTGTTTCGCATAGACTGGGAATGACAGGCAACCATTTGCTGTCTCACTGTCGGTGCCTCAGGAGTCAAGCTGCATCAAGAGAGTTCTTCACAGAGCTGTTTCTAGGAACTCTTTAGTTAGATTCTTGAATCAAAAGGTAAGATTGAAGAGGAATGTAGGCAATTTTCCATGTTAGTGGAAGTACATGAAGCTGTAAATGGAACTGTTATAGTTGTTTAATAAAATAACGAGTTCAAAAGTTAAAAAGAGTTAAAATGCTGGTTTTCTTAACCAACTTGCTAAAAAAAGAACTGTAAACATGACTGTTTTAAAAGTGTTCTTAATATTTTAAATCATCGTGGTCATGTTGCTTTAAGCCAGTAGCCAAAGTTGTGTGATGTGTTTGCTTATCTTCCAGACATGAGAAACTGTATTGAAATAATGGAAAAAGAAGAATAAAATGTTGCATAGATGCTGCTATTTTAAAAAGTTTAACTTACCCCCTTGCACTTTGCTGGATTAGGCATTTCATGCAAGGAAGGTTTATGTAAATGTATATTTATCATGCCTCAGTGTGAAAATACTGACTTACTGCATGATTTTATAACTTTGTTTTTGATTTTAAAATATAGAAGACACTTGTTTATAAGTGAGGGGTAATGAGGGGCTGTTACGTTCAGTACAACCTTCTGCATATTTCAAAACCTTTATGTGCACAATCTTCTGTTAAGTAAAATCCATTTGAATTTCTCTTATTAAAGGCAAGAGCTGTGTTCAGACCTCGTGAAGCCCAAAAGATATCCAACAGCAAAGAATTAGGCCTCATGACAGACATTTAGGAAAAATGCATATTGAACTGTTAATGTTTTCTCCTATTCCAAATCAGTTGGTTGATGTTGGAAAACTAATCCACCTCGGAAAAAGGTTTGGGGTTTTTTGCCTTTTTCTTTATGGTTGCTCTTCACCCAAATCATTTTGAGTTGAAATGAGAGCAAAGGTCAAAATGGGCAGGAATGTCTTCAGTCTTTATTTCTGAAGCTGTTTCACCAGAAACACTGAGCTATATAGAGGTTTTTTTCTGAGCCAGGTTTTGATTTGAAGCTGGTTGTCTGAGTTGATAAAGGAAATAGGATGCCATGCAGCACTGGGAACCCCATTGGAGGAGTAAATGTGCATGTCAAGGTCTATCCATTTATTCAGGCATGGCATGGTGGGATTGTGGTTTCGCTTAAATACTGTTTTTCTGTCCCTGTTTATTGGATTATGCTTTTCTATGTGCTAGGTAGCGCTAGGTAGCTACCTGCCTGCATCCAAAGTGGTTTGCAAGCATATCTCAAAATCAATATATGTACTTCAAAAGTATCAGTCACATTTGCTACCCTTTGTTCTGGGATTGTTTTGTGCGTGTCTGTAGGTAATGGGGAAGAAGGATACTATTCTAGAATACTAGACTACTATTTGGGTCAGTGGACAAAACAAATAATGCAAACTTTTATGTCAGTTTGAAAAGAGTTACATAAACTAGTACGTGATGGTGAAGCATCCTGGGGTAATGCATGGGTATGAAACAACCAAATCCATTGGCAAAATCAGTAGCAGCTCTACAAAGAATAAAAAAACCACATTTTTTTACCTCATTGCAACTGAGCAAGACAAAGACATTTGTTAAGCAAAGCAGTAGAGTGTAATGTTGGAATAGATAATTGTCAGCAAAAAGGGGAAATGGGGAATTGCACATAACAAATAAAATTTTAAAACATTTTAGTAGCATATCATGGAATTTTTTTGTTAGTTATTTTTTTTTAATGAGTTGAACAATATCCTATTTTTAGTGGAAGGTCAACTTGAACTTTATTTAAACAGAGCCTCTGGTTCTGAATAGAGATAGGAACACTTTAAATGTGATAACAAAAGGGAGGGATTGGAGCCAGACCTTCTTGACCTATCCTTAGGAGCACAGGATAGCCATCCATGTAAGAACTGTATGCCACTTAAATAGAGAGGGGTCCTTGTTCTGGGCTCAAAGTGCATGCAGTGAAAATAGCGCTGCGACTCATGTGAAAGGAATTTTTTTCTTTAAGAATTTGAAACGAATCCAAAAAATGGTTGGTTTTTTTTTATAAAGTAAATATTTATTTCAGTACCTTAAATATTACAAGTGTAGTTCCTAGACCAAAAACTTGGTCCTTGTGAAACTGTACCTGGAAGAAATCTTACAAACATAAGATTCTTAAAGTATTTCTAAACTAAGCAGTATTCTTTTAATTCTGCTGTCACTCACAGTGTTGTACATCCACTAGAACTCTGCTGAGCAGGGCGATGATTTAGTTGACTGGGAAGGTGGTGAGGCTGTTGTCAAGTTCCCAAGTTCCCGTGGTCGGGTTTCAGTGGAGAAGAGTTTTCTTGCTGTGGCTGTAGGCTCAGGACCATGACACACATTTTTTTGGATGGTTGAAAAACAGCCTGGCATGCCAGTGCAAAGCCAGAAGTTGTGTAGCTGGTCAGGCTGTAGGATTCACACTTCTGCTGGAGCGACTCCTAGAATTGGTCGCTGTGTCGCAGCTGGAAGTGTGTGCGTTCACCAAAGGCAGGAATTCTGGTGGTGTGTTTAAGGGACATGAAGGTATTAGCTGACCTAGGAATAAGAATACTAGTATCTGGGTAAACTTAACATGTGAGTATGGAAGAAGATGCTATATACTTTAGATTTATAGTGTAAATTATATTTGGAAATGTTTTACTCTCCTTAACCTGCTTATTGGCCTCAGTTAAAGAAAGTGGAAGTAAGGTGCTCCAGTGACTATGATGGTTTTATCCCAGCACTCTGTCCCTGATTCTGCCACTGGCATTCTCTGTGATCCCGAGTAAATAATTTTTCCTTTGTGATTCTATTTCCTTATGTGATATTGAAACACAACCTCTGCTTGGAAAAGTGCTTTGATGGAATGCACTGTAGGAAAACTAGGCCTGAGTGTTAAACAAGGAAAAGAGAGCATGTTCTGAATGTTATAACCCTGGGGAAAATCTTAATTTTTTTATCTCACTAAATATCAGAAGGTTTGTGTGAGACAAGTTCGTTGAGGTGTAATGCTTTCTCCCATCTCAAATGTTATTTTTCCATAACCCATAATTAAACTTTTTCACGCCATGAGCTCAGTCGTGACCTGTTGCTTGCCATGTGGATTCTCCAGTATCCATACAGAACTAGGCTCAAGCTAGTTTCTTTTCCTTGGTAGCTTGATTTTAAGGGATGATATATAACACTGTTTATGCTGAGAACTATGTTGAAGAACTTGGAAATCTTATGTCCTTGGGAATTTCAGCTGCTTTTCAGATGTGGATTGAAAAGGTGCTCTAGGGAGAAAGTAGACACAGGCAGAAGTGAAAGGGAGTATAAAAAGAAGTGCTGTGGTTTTTATTTTCCAGTTACTTCACTGCAAATCTACACCTAAATGCAAAGCCTGTTTAAATAAAGTAGCTTTCAGCTATTAAATGTTATTAATGGATCTGAATCTTGTCACCTTCTTCAATTCTCCAGTTCTTCTTTCCTTTGTGATGTCTGTGCATTAACATGGGAATAACATGCGTGTTTCTTGTTGCCAGTGGTAAGAAGTGAGAAAGTCTGAGATGGTTAGGGTGTAACCTGACAGCTTTGTCTGGAAATCTAAATAATTTGGCAGGTGCATTGTAGGTTTTCCCCGGTAATTAATGGGCCAGATCGCTCCCAGGTGTTGGAGATAGTGCTCCATTCTGGGCCTTGGTCTGGCCCACAAAGTACAGCAGGTCTTCAAGCAAAAGAATTGTTGTATTGGGAACAGAACTAGAACATTTTAACATTCTGAATATCTTATTTCATGTCACCTAGAGAATTAAAGAGAAATGCAGCAATTGTTTTTGTGACTTCTCTGAAGTCTGATTAGCTCTCGCTGTACTGGCTCATTAGCAAAAAGACTAAAAAATTTTATTCCCAGAGTGCTGTTGGTACCAATTGATTAAGCGGTATAAGAAATATTGAAATTAAGACCAAATAATAAAAAGCATTCTATTACATATTCTCACGTCTTGGAAATCCTCCGGTGCCCTGTCCGTGTGTATCTTGTTAAAAAACAAATCAAGACTACTTTGTCTTAATATTTTTTTCTAGTCTTCCCTGTTTTTCAGAAGCCAATAGGCCTGTGCATTTTGTGAGATTGATAGGATAATATATTTTATGTCATTATAGAGTACTACACAATAGAGAAAAACTAACAGAGAAAACAAATTTGGTGCCAAGTGACTGGGTGAGAGCCTTATGAATCCCTTTGCTGTCCAGCTCAGGAGGCTGAGAGTGAGTCATTGCCTCCAGACAGAAGTTGGCATACAACTGGAATATATGGGAAAACAGTAGCTGTGCTGAAAATTCCAAGAACAATCACTAGAAGTATGACGTGTTTCATGTCATCTAATTGTTCAAAAGCTTGTTAACTCTGATTTTTGTTGCCATGCTTGTGCCCTTGGATATAGCTTTAAGGATGCCCATCCCCCTGCCAGCCCTCCAGCAGCCACTGTGTCCTGTCAGTCATCCTGAAATACACTGGAGAGCTTGTCAGGCAGTGCCTTGCAGATGCCTCAGGAGCCCCATAGTGAGCCACAGCAGTTGCACTGAAGTTCCTAACGCAAGGAAATTACGTAGTTGCCTTAGTGCTGAATATGGACCATGTGTTTTCTAGGATAGGTGAGTGATATGCTGTTGGCTTTTTTATGCTCTAGCAGGAAATGGATTTTAAAGTTCAGATTTTCTAATTTATGCAGAATATCTTTGGCTCTGCTTTCTGACACTTATTGTATCTGTATGCAGATGGTTTAAAAGCTGCAGGTGCTGTGTTCACATTGTGCTGCAGATGGATACAGACTTTGGCTGTTTTTCCAGTGCCTTTGACCATTTTTCCAGTGTCTTTGGCTATGTCTGATGAAAAGGCAAAATTCTCCTGATATTGAAGTTTGTAGCACTTGGTAGGAGCGTGCAGGTGGTTGCTTTTCTGGCTGTTCTGGGACACAACTGTATCTTGTGACACATGCTTAACATCCTAAGTGTTGTAAGAGCAGCTCGTCTCCAGTGCTGCAATCGCCCACTGTAAAGGTTAATCTAACCGAGTGTGAGGTTATAGCAGCCTTCTG